GATGTGTGTGTATATATGAAGAACTGCATACTACTTGGATGTACAATAATTGCCATCATGGCTTTGTCAAGCTGCTGCCTACCTTTGTGAAGCAAAAGGAAAAAGACTAAAACAAAGTGAGTCAAGTAAAACGTTTTGCCTACCTGGAATGGGTGACAATAGTTGAATAAACTTTTTGCTCTCAAAATGGTATCGGTGCCCTATTTGTTGGTACTTGCCGATACCAATACCACCATTTTAGTGCTGGATTGGGGCTCTATACTGGTATCGATATCAGTGCAACATTAATACGAACCCAGGCTCCTGTTTGCAGGACAGGTGACCACATGAGCTCGCTGTTATCCATTGATTGATAGCTGAATAGCAAAAGATTAATTAATGAATTTTTACACAGCTGAGAAGCTGTGAGGCTGGCCAGTAGGTAAACAGCAGGTGATTTGGTAAAAACACACAAGCCTCATGGATCTTCAGTTGGCCTGTAGAGTTAGAAATGTACAGAGATCAGTTCATCCAGTGTTCCCACTGGGGAAGTCCCTGATGCCAGCCTACAAAGTGCTTCAGGGAACGGGCCCCGTCTACCTGAACCCTCTCGCAAAGGCTTATTTCACAACTCAGTCACTCCAGTCAACAATGGATTGTCGTCTACAGTGCCTACACCAGGCTTAAGACCATCCATACTGTTTTCATGAGTTGTTCCAAGGTGGTGGAATGACCTACAAAGCGCCACAAGAACAGCAGCGTCCCTTTCTATCTTTAAAGACCAACGTCTTCAAAGAGCATCTCTTATCCTAACGCTTACCCATAGCTCTGTACCCCTCTACTACTCTTTCGCTCCCTTTACCATCACCACTGATTCTGACAAAGGATTTTCCTCTAGAGAACTTTTTGTCATATTGATAACTGTAAAACTGTGTCTACTTTCTAAGTCGCTTTGGATAAAAGCATCTGCTAAATGCATAAACTTAAGTCCCCTAAATAAACAAGGAAAGGTGGGACATTATCAGTTTAAATCTATACTTTAAACTCTAAAGTTCTTAAAGAAAACTTCCTTGTATAATAAAACAATTGACATTTTAGCAGGAAGACCAACCCTGTACCACTCCAGTATTACATCGTATGTATTCGCTTTATACCTGCAAAGCTTTGAGCTTAATTCTTACCATGAAACTTGTCTTAAACCTCTGAATCATAGACTTTTTGCAGTACTTAAGGGGGTCTAGGCTACATTCTCCCATTTTATTCCCCCCTTAATCCCATCCGTCATTCTGTGCACCACCAAAATAAATATATTTAAAGCGCACTAAGGACAGTTATTGTTCAGATTCCTTTTTTTTTAGGTTATGTAGTTTATGTTAACAAGATATGAAATGCTAACCTGAAATCCACATCGTCAGTTGCTGATAATCCTCAGATAAATATTCAGATCATTTCAGGACTGAGCTTTCTAAGGTATGTTTTTTATATGAAAATTATATGTTATTACAGGTGCTGGTCATAAAATTAGAATATCATGAAAAAGTAGATTGATTTCAGTAATTCCATTTAAAAAGTGAAACTTGTATATTATATTCATACATTACATACAAACTCATATATTTCAGATGTTTATTTTGTTTAATTTTGATGATTACAAATGACAACAAATGAAAATCTCAAATTCATCATATCAGAAAATTAGAATATTACTGAAGACCAATAAAAACAAAGGATTTATAGAAATGTTGGCCAACTGAAAAGTATGAACATGAAAAGTATGAGCATGTACAGCAATCAGTATTTAGTTGGGCCTCCTTTGGCCTGTATTACTGCAGCAATGCGGCGTGGCATGGAGTCGATCAGTCTGTGGCACTGCTCAGGTGTTATGATAGCCCAGGTTGCTCTAATAGTGGCTTTTAGCTCTTCTGAATTGTTGGGTCTGGTGTATTGCATCTTCTTCTTCACAATACCCCATAGATTTTCTATGGGGTTAAGGTCAGGAGAGTTTGCTGGCCAATTAAGAACAGGGATACCATGGTCCTTCAACCAGGTACTGGTAGCTTTGGCACTGTGTGCAGGTGCCAAGTCCTGTTGGAAAATGAAATCTGCATCTCCAAAAAGTTGGTCAGCTGCAGGAAGCATGAAGTGCTCTAAAACTTCCTGGTATGTGGCTGCGTTGACCCTGGACCTCAGAAAACACAATGGACCAACACCAGCAGATGACATGGCACCCCAAACCATCACTGACTGTGGAAACTTTACACTGGACTTCAAGCAACGTGGATGAAGTGCCTCTCTTCTTTTCCTCCAGACTCTGGGACCTTGATTTCCAAAGGAAATGCAAAATTTACTTTCATCAGAGAACATGACTTTGGACCACTCACCAGCAGTCCAGTCCTGTTTCTCTTTAGCCCAGGCAAGACGCTTCTGACGCTGTCTGTGGTTCAAGAGTGGCTTGACACAAGGAATGCGACAGCAGAAAGCCATGTCTTTCATACGTCTGTGTGTGGTGGTTCTTGAAGCACTCACTCCAGCTGCAGTCCACTCTTTGTGAATCTCCCCCACATTTTTGAATGGGTTTTGTTTCACAATCCTCTCCAGGGTGCGGTTATCTCTCTTGCTTGTACACTTTTTTCGACCACATCTTTTCCTTCCCTTCGCCTCTCTATTAATGTGCTTGGACACTGAGCTCTGTGAACAGCCAGCCTCTTTAGCGATTACCTTTTGTGTCTTGCCCTCCTTGTGCAAGGTGTCGATGGTCGTCTTTTGGACAACTGTCAAGTCAGCAGTCTTCCCCATGATTGTGTAGCCTATAGAACTAGACTGAAAGACCATTTAAAGGCTTTTGCAGGTGGTTTGAGTTAATTAGCTGATTAGAGTGTGGCACCAGGGGCCATCAATTTTGAACCTTTTCACAATATTCTAATTTTCTGATATGATGAATTTGAGATTTTCATTTGTTGTCATTTGTAATCATCAAAATTAAACAAAATAAACATCTGAAATATATGAGTTTGTATGTAATGTATGAATATAATATACAAGTTTCACTTTTTAAATGGAATTACTGAAATCAATCTACTTTTTCATGATATTCTAATTTTATGACCAGCACCTGTAGGTGTGGTTATTTGTAGCAAGGAGGAAAGAGTGATTTCAGAAAGGTGTGTAAAATTATACCTAGAAGACAAAATGTCAACTGTGATTCATTCAAATATCCTGAGGCAGGAGGTTTCATTTAAGAGCACAAGTTGGAGATTCACTTAAGAACTGTTTATAATTATTAGACTAAATGTTCTATACTGAGAGCTACCTGATAAGTGATGGCTGAGTAAGTAATGCTTTGATCTTGTTGATTTACTTCCCTCTGGCTCTATGCAGTCAGAGCAGGTTGGAAATGTGGCAGCTGTCCCAAGGGGCGTCTGGAGCATCACTTTTTCTCCATAAACAAATTAATCCCGGAGTTATCCGCACCATCTGGATGACAGCCCTATGACTTTCCCATGTGCCTGGAAGGAAAGCTGAACAGCCAGGGTTTATCCTCCTACTTTTAAAAGGGAGGAGCTTGCTTTTCTCAAATACTGCGTAATGCTCGATTGATCTCTGAGAGTTTTTACGTGATGAAATCTACAGCAGGGATTCCCACCAGGGTTCTCAAATTCAATTACAGCTCAACGGGAAAATAACGGAAAGTAGGATTGGACAGATACTCTGCAAAGGAAAGACATTAATATAATAACTAGATCAAGGTTTAGATTTAAGTTAGATTTAGTATTTGGAAATCATGCAGTATTTTACAATAAAAGGGGGAAAAAAACAGTGGAAACTGGAAAGCAAAGAGGAAATGAAAGGAAGAAAATCCCCAAAGATTGAAGTGCTTTGCTACATTTGTCCTCTTTAGCCAAAGGTAGCATTGTTAGAATATTCTTAATGTGGGTAAATATATAATTTTTAAAATGACAGCAAAAAAAATAACATGGACAAAGTTATCTTAAAAACAGAATAAAAATACATGATTGACAGTTGCTAAAATAGCAATAAATTGGATCAATATCCATAAACATGCAAACACTGAGTGCCATTAGGAAGCTTCACTCACCTCAGCATGACAAATGCTTGGAGTGGCTTTAGCTAAGCCCAACTTGCTGGATTTTATGGTAATTATTAACTAACCCTGCTTCATTCATTTATACATAGAGACTATGGAACTTTAATAAATAATTTATTAAGATGGGAATAAAGTGAGATCGAAATGGGGAAAATAGTCTGATCCATTCTGAGGCAGCCAGTTATATTTATACACCTTCGTATCAGGAAGCACTATAAAAATAGGCGTCATTAGTGAGTCGTACAGCATAGAAATACCAGGACTTAATGCGTTTGATTTCTTTACACAAACCTCTTTAGATCCACATTAGATGCATTTTAAAGACACCTGTACAAGTCGAGGGACAGCAACTTACATTAGCAACAAAAAAACTACAGAATGAAAGTGGCCCTCAACATTGAAAAGTCCTTAATTGTGCTCAATAAACCAATTTTCATTCACTTTGTACACAGACTAGATTTTTATTCTGAGCACAAACACAATGAGCAGTCCATTTGAAAAATGATAAATCAGCCACATCACATTAGCGCGAGGTCAAAAGGAAGACGTTTTTCCTCCAGTTAATGTGTCATCTCTGCCCTAGCTAATACATCCTAATCCGTCATTAACATTTTTCCCCATGAGTCGTCTCTCTCCGACTTCCGACGTGACGCTCTGTGTTCAATTACAGCCAATAAAATCCCTCAATCGCCATCCTCTCTGCTGAGATCAGGGTCATCACAGTTAATCACAGACTGGGGCTTGATAATGGTCCTCCTCTCATTCAGGGCCGATGGGGCATGATCAGATGTGGGGAATAAACGTTATTTTTATTTGATACTAAAAAGGACATTAAATGGACGTTTTGACGTAAGCGACTGGAACGTTAAAACTGGCAAACTGAGACAAATCAATGAAATCCAACATTACACACGAGTTTATTGCACAGATGAGATCCTTTATTGTTATGCATGCCAGTTTGTTTTCACATCTTTCATTTATAGACACACAAAAATAAAACAAAAAAAAGACATCTGGTATGTCATAATGAGAATATGCTGTTTAAAGATGAGGTAAAAAAAAACACTTAACACTGGCTACAGGGGAAGAGCCAAAAGGGAACCAAAAAGCAGAACTTAGCTGAAGAAAAGTGAAATCAGTGTTAATAACCAACTTCACAATATTCCTTCCATCTTGAGCCTCGGCTCAAAGTTTGCTGTAACCACATCAAATGATGCATTTTCACTATTTACCATCTAAAGATGCTGACCTAGTGATCACTACGTCGCCGGTTATATAACAGCTGAGGAAATCTGTCAACAAAAAAACATTTGTAATGATCAACCGGACGAGATCAGAACTGACTAGATCTACTGGCTCAGCAGGTCAAACACTGAAAAATCTTTTTTATTGTTATTATTCTAATGAATTAAACTACCAACTCCCACCGTGTCCACCTTATAAATCCATTAAATGTAGTAACATCTAAATGATTGCTGATAAAGGTGAGGAATTTGTGCTTTGATGTCAACAAGCATAACCTTCCATATCCTTGCTTTTTTTTTGGGTTGGATTCTAATCCTACTGAGGAACATGGAGCTTTTCTTTTTATTGTTATAAAACCCTTATTAGCAGATTAAGTTCAAAGGAACACCAGATGGGTGATCCTGTATGAAGCAGCCCAGTAATTAGAGCTGACGCTATGCCGGCCCGAGTTTGGCACTCATGGGTTTCTTATTCGGACACATGCACGAGCTCTTTATTTAGTTTGGACCCGCATTGCAGCTTAAAGTTCTCCAACTAATTTCAATTCTTTGGCAACTTCAACAAGACAAACAAGCGAAATAAAGGACATTTGTTTTCCTTTTGTTTTGCTGAGTAATATGAGAGCAAATAGTATCCAGAAAGTTCCTATTAGGAGCACTTTGTGACATACAAAGAAGCCATTCTCTCGCATTTCAAAAAGACGCACCAGAATCTTAGAAGAACATTTTAAAAGCGGGATGTGGATTCCACCTCCTCCCTCTGATGGTACGTCGATAACGGCTGTCTCAGTGTTTGTGCCAGGTTGGGGCTGCCATGGGGCCTCTGGCTGTTGTCTCCACCACTATCAGCTCATCTGGGTTGTTCCGTGCCTTGTAGTGGAGCAGCAGGTCCTGTATGGCTCTCTCTTCAATCTAAAGAAGAAAGAAACCAAACAGATTCAGAAGATGATGCGATGGGATAATGTGTTCAGTAAAAGATGATTTGACTCGTGGGTGAAAACAGGAAATGCTGATGGTGGAGACTTTAATGACAACCAGAGAGCCGCATGGAGGGAAAAGCGTTTAGTGAAGGCAGCGGCAGAAGTTTGGCAGCAGCTGGAGGGGAGCATCCAGAGCAGCACTGCATTGAGGCTGATGTTAAACAGATAATCAGCCAGACGACAGAAGGAGCAGACATTCCACCCCCATGCTGTTTACCTCCAGCTCTGCATTCAGTCACAACCAGAGCGAGTGTGTGCATGTGCCCTCTACCTGGATGAGCGCCAGCGGCTTCTCTCTGCTGCGGATCAGCGCTGCTTCCTGTTGCTTCTCCTCCTCCACGATGGAGGCGAAGGTCACCAGGGAGGAGAGAGGAGGGCTGCCCACTGCGGCCAGCACCCAGGGTCTGAGGGAAGGAGGAGTTGGGGTTAGATCCAGAAATGCTGCAGGTTAAATTCTTTAAGTTCGATTTTTGCTCAACTCACTTCCAGACATGCAGGAAGCCTCATTACTCCCGACTGATTCATTTCCCTTCATTCATAGACCAGAAAACTAAGTATCCCCCGCCATCAGTCATTTTCTGCCTGACTCACATTAGGCATTTCTGTCCCAATATTCTTTCCAGCCTCGCTTTAGTTGTTTAGAACACTGATGAACAGCTCTCTAGAACATCTGAATCAGCTTAAGTGCGGCTTTAATAAGAGCTTGGAAAAGCATTGACTTTGCTCTTCGGTTTCCCTTCCAGCAGATTTCCTGCAGGGCGTCAGATGACCAACTATGATGTCAGGCAGTAATGCCAGCCCAAATAATCAACACTCCACCGCCATACTTTGGTCTGATGTTTTGTAAATAAATAGCCAAACATTTCTAAGGTCTCACATCCAGACAACAGATTGATCCAGAAGTCTTGTGGTTCATTCAGGTAAACAGTACAAATAACTTTTTTCCTTCTAGACAAGCTTAACTTTTATTCTAGTTGACCCAACTTGATCACTAGCATGCAAGCTGAGGCTGCTAAACAAAGAGCCGACCATCTCAGACTTTTCTATAAACATTCTCTCTATAAAGAGATGTGCTTCAATGTTCCCTCTGAGGAACAGAAGGAACAGGAGGGCTGGATGCTCCAGACCAGCTAATGGCTACAGCTAGTTCTCCTACAGTTAAGGGCTTCAAACCTATTCATTAAAAAAATGTATTCTTAAATCAGGATGAGGAAGTACATTTTATTTTAACATGAACAACAAAGGGGAACAGAGAGAACCACATGTTGCTGTATGGGATATTTAATTCCTTGGCTTTTTTTTTTAACAAATTGCTCTAGGTGTTGATAGGAAGTATCATCTGTAGCGGTCCATCTTTTACCGGATCTGAGAGATCTCTTACTGAAGACACTGTTTTCATGTTTAATAATCATGTTGCTGTGGAAAGAGCTCAGGGGACATTTCATGAAGCAGGTGTAACAAAGTCAGATTAAAATCCTCAACTCTAAATTGATCTAGCCAAAAAGTCGGGAAGTCTGAGTGTTCGATTCCAAAGCGGCTGTTATCGGTTAGTTAAATCAGTTTTAACCAGGTCCACAAAGAGCTAAGCAAATAGGAAAAGCCATTATTAGTGGAGCACCGATTTGACGTATTTTCCGTAAACCTGCTTCGTGAAACGGAGCCCAGGTAAGCTCGTCTCGCTGCCGAAACGAACACTGCATTGTTCAGAACGCCACCTCCACAATGAGCCATGGTGGTGGGAGCATCATGCTGTGGGGAGGCATGGTTAGAACGGAAGATAAATGGGGTAGAGGTTCACCTTCCAGGAAGGCACAACTAAATGAGTTTCCATTTGTTAGAAGGGCCCGGCTGAAGGCCAGCTGAAAACCAATATTAAATCCATATTAAATATTGGATTTAAGGGGATTTGGCACTAATTTGCGTTGCCTATTCATGAAACATCCAAATAAAATCCATTAACGGCTCTAAAGTCACAATAATGTTAAAAACTTTAAGCGGTATGAAAACTTTTGCCAAGAACTATAAACGTGTCTAAAAGCATTCAGTTCATATGGATCCTGGAACCAGGCCAGTGTAACGATACGGCCAGCAGTTTCCTCTGGAAATACTCGCTGAAGACATAAGACGGAAAAAATGTCCGACATTCTATCAAATCAAAGATTAGAGGCTTCTTTCATAATTCCGACTCGGGAAAGAAGGTCCAGAATTTACTGACCGAGGCTTTAATGCGTCTGTCTCCTGAACGGCCTTATCATTCCTGATTTAAACTCCTTCACATCACCGCATCCTGCGGCCGTTTAATATCCACACATCTGCTGGTTACATTACAGGAGGAAGTTGGATAAATCCTGTAATAAACCATAATCAGCTGCATACTTTGCAGAACAGAGCATCACTTCCACAGGCCGGGATACTGTGTGTGAATACAGTGTTTGTCCAGCTGTCAAGAGAGGCAGTAAAGGTCAGAGTGACTCGGTCTCTGCAGGCAGGTCAACCCAGCTGCATCGGGTCACTCTAAGCTGTCCACATCAGAGTATTCAGGCACCCCAGCAGATAACCGCAGAGAAACCCAGAACTGTGGGATAACCACTTAACCAGTAAGATTAAACAAAAAACATTAAATTCTTATTTCCCCTTCTTGTAAAAACGAATCAAACATTTTTATGTTAATTTTAGTTTCTCATCTTTAAAAGTAATGATAAAGTTTGCAAACATGATCGCTTTTATTTGCATCTAAAGGTTACCTTAGATAAAGTAAAAAGCAATAATATAATAGAGAAATGTGATACTGTGAAATGAGCAAACAAAAAGGAAACCATGATGACGGCACAATAAATACCTCAACAGTGCCTTCAAGTGGAAATCAGCAGAACAGACCAGAAGACTCTGAATGTTTACTCTGTTTCAGGCTTAATTACCTTCCAGGCAGAAAGAAGCTCATACTTTCTGATCAGCTCTAAAATCCTTGTGTTGTTGATCATTTAATTCTTTTGCTTTATGACCTGCAAATTGCAAACCTTTTCCTACCCTGACCGCACCTCATTTTCCTTGAAGCAGCTCCAAACACTCTGCTCACCCGTTGGGCTTCTCTGGCTCGCCGCTCTCGCAGCTTTTGAAGGTCACCCTCCTGGCTGCAGGTGCAACGTTGACAGAGGATCCCTGGACCCTCTGTGGTCCTGCTTGACCCGCTCTGGTTAAACGGCTTTCTTCCTCCTTTATGAGAGCCCGAAAAGAACATGAAGAGGGAAGAGACTGGATCGCTGTTGCCCTGCAGAAAGCAAACATACGGAAAATCTGTACACAACTGTTCAAATGTAAAATGAGATTTCTTACCGATCTCTGTTCATTTTAAATGTTTTTCAAGCATATTTAAACATTTTGCTTCATTAATGAACAATAGTGCTAAAAAACCAGTGATACTGGCTTAACAAGCTCTAACCGTACGTATAGAACACAAATGATCCAATCTGATTCTAAGCAGCGACTCACTCGATGCCATGAGGGCTTAATGACACCACTCCTCAGTGTGCAAGCAGTGATAGCAGGAAGATGACTCGATTTGGGCTACTCTTAGTTTTTACAAGCCATATTAGACAGGGGAAGCAAAAAGTTTTCTACTTCATTTGTAGAAACAGCTTGAGACAGTCGGTTCAATCAAACTGTATAAGAGCGAGTGAGAGCAATACTTTCAGCAGAAAACAGGAAGGCTGAACAGTCTGCTGCAAAGTTACTGTTTTAACAATCTGCCTTTAAACCCGTCCACCATATTGGGCTAGTAAAGGTTTTGGATACCTCAGCCTTTGGTCAGAACAGAATGTTCATTTTGTAATGCTAGCCATGCAAAAAGCTAATTACTAGGAGTGTATATCACCGGGTTTGTCACAACTTCGCTTTTTCAAAAGATGAGTAGTTTACTGATTTTATAAGTCTGTCAGGATATGATAGTACAATTCTTAACTTTGTAATTGATAAGATGTGATATCATCCTCCTATCTAATTTACATTGATTTCAACGTATTTAAAAACGTACTACTTTATTAATAATTTACTAATTATTTAAGCATCTTACTTTAAAGCTCCAACAGATATTGAAATCAGAAACAGCCTCTATTCTTTATTATAAAAAATAAATAAATAATATGATAAAATAAATAATAATATATCACTTGTCCACTCCAGTCTTGGAATTTTCAAATTATATTGAAAAAGTGGATCCACTCTTCATTTTACACTGACGAGCAATAATGCATTCCAATGTATTTTTATACAACCAATAATTAGGATGCTTTTTATTATATAAAAAAAAATTCTCTTTCATATAGCCAAAAGATGCCAGTTCTCTTCCCAATAGAAACTCCTTCAAACCAGGACAAAACAGGAAATCAGGAGTTATTTGAAATTGGTATTACATTTTTACCAAAAGCTCTTCATCATTTTTTGATGAGTGCATCCCTAAATATCATCATTTGTATTTGATCCCTGCTAAGTGCTAAAAACTGAGCGAGCAGAAACTGGCTTAAATCAATAATGCAGAAAAAAAATAAGCTTTTATTTCCAATAATTTCTGGCACAATCCAGAATTTTAAAAAGACCTTATAATGCCTACTGGTTTATTTCTGAGCTGCCTCACCAGGCCTTATCGCTGCTTTTAGACGGAGTCACTATTGGAGCTGATTTGGATGGGGACGTTTCCACAGCCGTCTCTCTATTGGCCAAGGCTAACATCTTCCTCTGCTTCTGGGACAGTTTGGAGGAAACAGGCGAGGGTTTGATGTTGGGGATGATCCTGCACATAGAGAGGAAAAACCCACACATCCAAAGTGGTAGAATGCAGTTTACTTTTAGCACAAACACTCTTACCAAGCTCAAGAATCAGCATGTCTAATATGTTTTCATTTTCTCACATTCCAGGGCTTTTAGGAGTTGCACCAAGAGTCTGCAGAGAGCTGGCCTCCATGTCCATGATGGTTCTCAGATCCAAGACTGGAGGTGGATGAGGACTGCAGATTGGAAAACCAGGGTATTATTCAGACACTGATTGCGGCTTATAGAAGGACAGTTTGAAGAATGCATTTTTCCCGCTAAAACTTCAGTAATTACCATAAAGTTCTACTTATTCTTGATTAATAAGTGATGAATAGAGAAAATATTCCCAACCATGAAGCAGACTTGAGGATGTTTCTTGGATTGGAGCTGGGGGGAGTTGGGAAAAGAGCAGGAGGGTTGGTTCTCAGGGAAGTTGGAGTGCTGGGTGGGGTCTTCAGCCTCTGACTGAAGGCTCGCTCATCCTGCAGGAGGAATAAAAAGAAGACGTCTTCAATACAACTATACCTTTAGCTATTTGCACCACAGCTGGGCAGTTATGCATCAAAGCATCAGTCACTGAATATATTAAGCCAAGAAAACATCAAGCCCAGTGCTAGCTCAGGGTGAGCTATGAGCAGAACTTAACGTGTTAAGGCCAGAACACACAGAATCAGATTTTGCATCTGATTCAACAAAAAAAATCATGTCGGATGAGGTCATGGTGTTTAGCGCTCATTGAGAAACAACGTCCCCATTGATCACAACCGACAGGATTTTACACAAGGGTGCTGCGTTGGTCTGACTGAGAGCTCAGGTCTATTGTAGCAGCAATTCAGCTGCAATTTCATTGGTCTGACAGGAAGAGAGAGACACGGTTAAAAGTAAACACATCGGCTACAACATTGAATGAAAGATTGTAAAAAAAATTAATAAAATCGAAAAAAATTAAGAATACTTTACATAAGATAAAAATTCAGCATGTAAGAAAACAGATAAAGTAGTGATCTTCATTTGATCCTCACAAAAAACAAAATATCGAGGGGCAAAGAGAGCAGGTAAGATCTGCGTATCCTCTCTCTTCTTTGTGAAAAAATAAAGAAAGAAAAACTTCGATAAACTCACAGATCTCCCTCTTAGAATCATCTCTCACTGCCTCAGTCAGCATATAAACTGTCCCACAGTGTTTATTGCTGTGTTTTTCTTTTGTTTAGAAATAGACCTCATGTTTTTTTTTTATATAGGCATATGAACATTTCTATCTTTTCTGGTTTAGAATGAAAAAAAAATCAGATCGGAGATTAAAAAGTCATGCACAACCGGTGTGTTGAGGCTCTTACCTGGTAGAACTGTGGACTAATTCATTATTTAGACCACAACTTTAATTATCAAACATATTCCATATGATTAAATGGAAAGTACCTCAGTTTTGTCATGGAAGACAGGAGACTGGATATCTCTGGGACTGCTGGCTCCCAGGTAGCTGCCCTCTGAGTCAGATGTGAGGACCTCCTGTAGAGACTCTGTTGAGTTGGCCTTTCCCGACTTCACCAGGATAGGAGACACTACTGGAAGGAACCATGGCACACCACGGTAAGACCGAAAGCCGACCCAAACAATAAACTACTTCTAGACAAGCACTGAAGTGGATTTCTTTAACAAAATGCAGAGCTGAGGGATCTGAAGATGCTAGGACATTGTTTTTTGTCTGTGTGCATTTTAGTACCTGCAACAGGAGGACTTTGAATGACATCAGAGAGCGTATAGCCTCCTGAGCTGTCAGAGCGTCTCCTTGGTTTCTTCTTTGCCTTCACCTTTGCCTTCTTTAAAAGGATTTCTCTGAGGATGAGCATTGAACAAACAGAAGAATATTTATATATATTTATACATACACATACACTCACTCAGAATCCAGTTTCTGCCCCACCTTGTTTTTTTTATTTCGTTTTCAGTGAAGCTTTTCACCGTTTACATAAAACAATCACTTCTCAAAACACTTTGTAGCCATAGACAAGCTTGTAGCAAAAATACTTGCTATGAGAAGAATAAAACTAAAATCTCTAACTTTAATGGAGGAATGTAGGTGTACCAATAGAGGCACTGAGACAGCACTGAAAATACGGCAATGACAAACAGCACGGTTAAAACGAAAGAAAAACTGAACAGTTCTAAAAACAGCTTGCCTCGATTCTTAGAAATGTGCAGCAAAAGTAATGACTGTGCCTGGAGCACGTGAGCAAAGATAAGATTATTTACAAGAATATGAAAAAACTTTGCAAATAATAACAGGAATGTAAACAACTTGCTGGGTTTGTTAGGAGCAGAGATGATTATAAAGGTTATAGAGTCTAAAAGTTGCTGACAGGAGAAACCTACAATGAGGCCTGGTAGAATACACTTAGAGACAATATCTGAACCAGTTTGTTTCCTGGTATAAAACTACATTTAAGGAAACACGATAAACGTTCCAACATTCAGAGCTTAGTAGTGGCTGATAACGAAAGATCAGGTCGTATATCATAACAAATAAAAATAAGTGTTAACCAACAGGAAAAGATGTTTGTTGGAGAAAACTAAGATTGATCCGTTTAGAATGAAGATAACAGGAAAATTCCATACATAAAAATCATGTTTATTAACATGAAAAACACCTTTTTCAATCTCAACATGGAAACTTCATTCTCCACAGATTCTATTAGTTAAATAAGTTATTTAACTAATAATAGATGAAAATAAACTTAAATATAACAATCTGACAATATTTTAAGGTTATTTAAGGTTCTGTTGTTTTAATGTGCAAATAATGTTTGCTTCTGTCTCCCTGAACTCTAGTCAGCCTCGGCAGATGGCCGCTCACACTAAGCCTGGTTCTGCTGGAGGTTTCTTCCTGTTAAACGGGAGATTTTCCTCTCAATTGTCGCTTGCATGTTTGGTGTGAGGGATTGCCTTAGGGTTAATGAGTCGATGCAATCAGCTGGTTTTCCTCAAATGGAAAACTTTGAACCAATCAGACTGTATGATTTGGTTGAATTGTCTCTGTAAAGTGCATTGAGATGACATGTGTTGTGATTAGTGCTATATAAATGAACTGAAATAGTCTAGAAATCTAAAATTAACTATTGAAAAAAACCCTGCAAACAGCACTTTTATTTATACCACCTAATTAATAGTGTATCCAGATACAGCTTTGATGTATCGATATAATAAGGCTGCTTCATCTCCTAAGCATAGAGATGATGGCATTATACGGAGGGAATGTTCTGCTGGGACAAAGACTGTCATTCAAACAGAGCAGAGATCCTTTAAGCCCACAATCAAGATAAATCTGTGTTTTGCATGGTCCAACATTGTGTCACGAACCTAAAAAAAAAAATTACCAGTTTAATAATGGAGAAACTATTAGTAAGCTTTATACCATTTATATATATATAAAAACTATTTATTTTCTGAGAATGCGTTTATTTAAGCGCAACTATGCACATTAACAAACATCTGGAAAAACGGACACTACATTGTATTATTTTCCATGTGAATCCCAGATTGTTCATTCTTCTCCCTCTTCTCCCCCCCACATCTTCAACCCGAAAATTGGTCATTAGAAATCAAATATGCATCTTGCACATCTAAGAAATACGTATTGATATATTTCACAATATTTTAAATTTTAATATAAAATGTATTTGTAAAAAAAATTATAATAATAATAAATATATAATAAATATATAATAAATATATAATAAATATATAATAAATATATATATATATATATATATATATATATATATATATATATATATATGTTTTTTTGTTTTTGTTTTTTTTTTATGTCTTAATCAGGGTCATTGGGTGTGTGGGGTGGCGCCCTAGCGCCCTCTTTTGGCCAGATGCCACTGTAGACATGCATGTTTGTGTGAAAAAAAGAGATAATCCGTAATGAAATTAACTCCTGCATGTACAGGTTAATAATAAAGCTTTTGAACCCGTCTTAAAATACAAACCTCATTACACCTGTTCCCATGGTTAGGGTATGTAAACCTCTGACTGGAGCAATTGTTTTTAAAGAGTAAACTTATTCTTTTGTATACCTGCAAGACTGATCCAGTTCTCCGTCTGGTTTGGCGCTGAACGCAGAGTCTAGATCCTCCTCCTCGTATGCACTGAGGTCTGGAGCACCAGGATAGGGGGTGATAATCCGCTTCTGCATTGCTGGGATCTAAAAACAATCAGATAACATGCAACCAATACATGTCAAAGTATGTGATTGATAAAAATGATTAAATGCTTTTCCTGTATTGTGTTTATCAGTGCAGTTCAATGTTTTCAGCAAACTACAAAACTTCTAATTTGAGGAAAAGAGTCAAATGATTCAGCCTCCCAGCTTCCCAAACCCTGGTCCAAACGGTTATCTGCACCATAACAGGCTCTATGAACAAACATGGAAGTCATGACGAGCATGGAGCGCTGCTCTGTGACTCACCGTCCTCCTGTAGGCTGCAGAGAGCTCCACCAGGACTTCATCACTAAGAATATCCAGAGCCCTGAGGAAAACACAATCAGATAAAGAACACACACAAACATAGATTTTTTTCTAACATCACAGAGATGAGAGTTAAAAAGAAAGTTTTCTGAATATAAACAGAACCTAAAGCAAAAACACCACATCTCTACTGAACTGATTTAAATACTAGATATAACTAGATCAAATATGTTTATACTTGGTTTGATTTGCTATTAAAACAAAACCAAAACATTATGAGTTCAACTCTCACTTTGACTCCAACAAGGCAGCCATGTTGAGGACGATGAACTGCAGGCAGGACAGTTTCAGCTGCTCGGCGTTGTACATGGCAGCGAATTCCAGCAGTTCTGCTGCGTTCTTCAGGGTCACTGAGTGAGCAGAATATTCATCAAATCAACAACTGGGTGTATGTTTCCTCCTCAACAGCCTCCACTCACTAAATCTATCATACGATATCTATAGAGCTAAAAGATGCATTAAAAAGTAAACACCCAACTTTCTAACAAGGCTTCAGACTTATATTCAAACCAAAATCTATAAGCAGTTTAAAAAAAAAAAAAAAAAACATAGGAAAGAAGAAGATGATTGATTGCTGAGCTGAAAAATTTGAGTTAATATTAAGTTAGGGAAGCAAACAAGCATTGATCTGAGAGTAGCATTTCTTGCACTAGCAAGCAACCCTTTTCCCAGAAATCAAAGTAAGGCAGGCAATATGGTAAAACCTCACTTTATGTGGTCGTTACAGGCCTCCATTCAGGAGGGAGAAATTAAGTAAACATCAGGACAACATATCTGCACATGGGAGATACAGAGGAAAAACTAAAGAACCAAATTAGCATGTGGATAAGTAGCAAACGTTAAACACAATCTGAACTAATTCTCAACTTTGCCTTTTTATGGTTCCCTTTTATTATTGCGCTCATTAGGATTAGGAAAAGTTTTTCCATTTCCTGATGCGCAATCGCAGCTGTGCCCACAGTTTGTAGGCTATTGCTTTGAGCCCACGTATTATTTTTCAGGAATGCACAGTTTTAATACCAGAGGTGTCAGGTAACAAAGTGCAAATACTTAACTTTTTTTAGTTTCCTTATTTAAGTAGAAATTTTCGCTATCTATCTATTCTTTTTGTTTTATTTAAGCTCAATATCGTTATAGCCAGTTAGTAGAAAAAAATTAAAAATTTTAAAATAATTAGTTTCCTCCAGACCACTCATTTCTTTGTGGTTGGACTAAGTACTGCAACAACTGGTTTGTCAAAATAATAAAATAAATAGTTGTTCAAGATGATGCGCAGTTAAACTTGAGACTGTTGCCATTAGTTATAAAAGAAAATTAAATATAAGGAACTTATCATCCAGGGTTGTAGAAAATGTTCCTTTAATGAGCATTAAAGCATCTGTCCTTAACATTTTTCCTGCATTACTTTTACACTTCAAGTAGTTTTAGAAATGGTACTTTTACACTTTTACCTGAGTAAAAGTTTAAGTTAATAGTCTAACTTCTACAATAGTGTTTTAGGATTTATATTACTACTTCTACTTGAGTAGAAAACATTAATACACCTCTGTTTAATACATTTGCACTTGTCTTATAAAGAATGTTTAATTGCCTTCTTGTGCTGCGTCAGAACATTTTCTTAACTCAAGAGGCATTTCCTAGAAACATGTAGGCAAACTGCTATCAGAGCCATGGTTGATTACAGCTCAAATTAATTCAGCCTTAAACATCAATTCCTGTTCCTTAAACACAACCAGGCCAACGCTGGGCCACCAGGAAGTACAGTAGAGTCCTTCCTGTTGGTAGAGAAAGGAGGAAGAAAAATACAACGTACAGTTCTCAGTGATGACGACCTCGCACATCTCCTTCAGCCGTGTGATGAGCAGCTGGTCGGCTACAACCAGCACGTTGCAGACAAACTCTACATTAGGAGATTCTGTGGAGATAAAAACATTCTGAGTTCATCCCTTCTTCCTAATCCGGTGATCGTGAAATTGTCCTGAATGAATGATTGTACCTTTAATGGTGGGAGACTCATCTGTATAAATATACTCCAGAATAACCTGGAGGATCTCGGAGCTGGTGGGCAGCTCCAGTGCAGAGCAAGACGTGGCCTGAAGGATGGAAGGCGACAAACAGGCTGATTAGCTGACGGTTTAAAGTAGACATGTTGGCTTCTTTACATGTAATTATATATTGGCATACCTCAATCCAGGGGTTTCCAAGCATACTGTTGAAATATTCTGAAAAAAATAATAATATTTTTTTAGATTTCCTTTAGGATCATAATATTTACAGAAACTCAAAACTGTTCATAAATTAAGCTGCTGATTTTCTTTTATCAATTCATCTATAGAGATGCTTTTAGTAAATAAACCTACCTGAATAAACAAATGTTTTGAACTTGGAGAAATCATTTATTTTGCATTTTATAATTAACTGTAAACGCCAAAAACATGGAAAAATACCACAATTAGTGCTCAAAATATCTGGAATAAATACGATGATTTTGGTTCATTTGACTACTTTTTTTGATTAGCAGATTAAAAATCCCACAACAAAGGTGCTCTATAGGAAGTTTTCTGTTCTATGGAATTTGAACTACACAACAATGACAAAGGATGGAGCATATTTATAGATGTTTCTTAAGTGGAAATTTTTTTAATATCTTTCCATTTAGCTATGGATTCATTTCTGCACAGAGTGGATTTGTCTTTTAGCAGATTGGATGTTAAAAATACAATTACTCAGCTTATATATAATTAACAAATAATCATAAGCAATTTATAAAGCTGCTGAAAATGTCTGAACATTCTTATTGTTAGGAAAAAATAAACGATTTTATAGCAATTTCATAAAAAGAATAAATTAGTGCTTGCATTTATATCCAAATTAACTAAAATCTGTGTTTCTAAAGGGGCTGGAGTTCTTTGCGATATATGTTGCTACAAAAGAATATAATTTACACCATTACACATATCATATTAATAATTGAATAATTTATAATCCACGCCAAGTGATAGTTTAGTCATACAAAACAAAATGCAGTAACAGTTTGTGCACGAAACGACATGTCGGCAAGTTCTGGATTAAGTCTCTCACCTAATCTTGCACAGAGGACACTTTTGTGACATGGAAACTCTTTGCCATCATCAGATTTCAGAGTGACGTCACAGAGATAGGAGCTGTGCACAAAAATAGACCAGAAAGGCTTCATTCATTGTCATATTGATTAGTTTGTTGTTGTTTTTTTACTAAGACAGAACTGAAGCTGCATTTATACCATTTTTTCTGGAAGAATTTGGGTTTACTTCCAGTCTTCTTCTGCACCACGTTGATCTTTCCATTTTCATACTTCACACCATCCAGTCTTGAAGGGGTTGGAATAACAGAAAAGTTAATATAACTGATACTGCGTTTTGCTGTAGAGCAGAGAACAGCTTCTCACCGTGCCGACAAGCTGCCCAGGCCGAGCTTCTTGGCAACAGCCTGTAAGGTTTTCACAGGATTGGCCCCTCCTTCATTGACTCTGGCCTTGTCACCTTTGCCTCCCTTCCCCTTTTTGCTCGACTTGGAGCCCTTGTTCTTTGCCTTGTCGTTGTTAGCTTTGGCTGAGGGAGAAAGCGAATTGTACACCTCGAGCGCTGAGCAACCTCTCAGACCCAGGTCCTGCAGACTGCTGATAAGCCGCTCGTGTTCTGAGTCCTGGCCAACAGAGACAGAGAAACAAAGTCTAAATGGCAAAGGCCTGCCTGAATGAAAGAAAACTGTTTGTCCTGATGAATCTAAAGACGGATTGAAGGAAAATGGCTGTATAGGCTTGAATAAACATAGATGAACTCTAAAAATAGACAAACCCCCCCTGCTTTTACCGGCCAACCCACCTGGTTTTGGTCTGCTGACAACCCTGAGCCTCTAGGCCGAGTCCCGTGCACAAGAAGCTCACAAGAGTCCGTGTAGATGAAGTGCAGAGCATATTCCAGCATGTCCGCTGGGATCTTCTCAAAAATGAGCAAGTCGCATCCGACAGCATCTTCGCTCCTCCTCACTTCCTTATCCAGCTCCTCGTTAACCCCGCAGCGCTCGGGCATGAGCTGCTTTCGGAAGAACTCAGACCTCATGGACAGGATGTATTTGTGAGCGGGGAAGTTGCGCTCGCCGGCCTGAAGCGTCACATCGTGGATACTGTCCGTTTCATCCGCCTCTTCCAGAAGCCTCCGGAAGTGATGGGTGACGGAGGACGGAGAGATGCTGGGGACCTCATACAGGCTGGAAGACATACATTAGAAAACATGCATTTCAGACTTGGTCAGACTGTAATCCAGCTCAAATATTTGAAACAATAATTAATTATATCTGCCCTGGATAAGCTACTAGCACAGTTTAGCAGGAAAATATATCTCTAATATTAACCCCAAGTGCAGTGATTTTCTATTCAATTACCGTGTATTTATGACCTCTACGCCTTCACTTTTGATTAATCGATTATTGAAATATTCGTCATCTAATTCAGTAAGATTAATCGTTAACTGTAATATAGAGACTCTAGCTGCCTTTAGCAAGTGACAAGTGACCCACTTAGAGCAGTAATTACATCAAAATTGTAAAATACAATTTATAAACATTTTGCATTAGGGTAAAAAAAAAAAAAAAAATTATATATATATATATTTTTTTTTTATCTGTCAATCTGCTCTATCAAGAACTCCTTAATAAGACAAGTTTTAGCTTCACCTGGTTTAATATTGTAAAAAAATCTTCTTAAAGGAACCTTTGGCAATCCCATTATTAATCGATTAATCAAAAAAATTATTGACAGATTAGTCAATTTGCAAAATAATTGTTAGTTGCAGCGCTATACTGCAGCATACAAAGTTCCAGAATGTAAAGTGGTCCTTTATATAGGTAAATCACTAATAATCTTTAATCAAAACTAGGATTTCAGCCATTTTTCTTCGTTTTTCCAAAAACTAGAGGAACCCAAAAAGACAGATATTTGCAGCTTTTAATAAGTTCATATATCATGACTCTTATTGTGACATGTATACACACACACACACACTCTTTTATTGTTTTTTGTTTTATTTATTTATTTTTAAATCAACTGCATTGAGAAATACAGGTCTCAGTTTCCACCCCTAGGTGGCGTACTTAACGGTGAGAAACTTTATGACAATCCCGTTGGTATAGATTAGACTTCACACATCCTCATCTGTTCCATCTACAAAGATCCAAAACATGTTTTTGTTTCTGGATCCAATACTTATAAATTTTATCACTTTTCTCATTTTAATATCAAACCAATTTATTTAGAAATTTGCTCTTATGAGATTATCTATCCAGAAATGTAAAAAATCTAAACAAAATTAATAAAAACCATTTAGACTATTTAATCTGTTAAATTTAATGATTAATTGGTTTGTAAACCAAAATAAAAACTCATTTTTCTAAGAGTTTTTTTTGTCCTTCACTTTTTTTGTTTTTTAAAATTTACCCAGTTTCAGATAAGAAATAATTTTTCTTTCCATTTAAGCAACTCCATTATATCAAGAAATTTGGGGAAAAGTAATAATAGAAAATAAAAAGATGAAGGGAAAGTTTTTAGAAAACGCTCTATTTGTCAACCACAAGATCATTTTAAAAATAGAAACAAAACAGTGGAATAATGACATTTTTTTTTAAGTTATAAGGTGCTGCTTTTAACCTTCTGACAAATTCATTAATCAGACCATAACTAAACTACCAGTGGAAATTTCTGCAGGTTTTTTTTAAAAGACAATTATTTAATTTGACGTCTTATTTTAAATCTGAAACCAAAGGAAATAAGAGAGATAAAAAATAAGAACATGAAGTCCTTTCATTGACCGAAATGCTTTCTAAATGACTTGTCCAAGTAGCCGCCTCTAACCGATACAACAGCTGAACGCATTCATTACATTCTTTCTAGTAGAAATCCAATATTCTTTAGAAGATTATTCTCAAATCTGTCACAGAATTCCCAGAAATGTGCAGCATTTAGATTTTAATCTGAATGATGCTTCTAAAGCTGGTCCCGCACCTGGTTTTGGGGTCAGCTTGAAGCACGCCAAAGTTCAGCCCTTTGGAGTCCATAGTGATGCTGACCGCTCTGTGGACAAAAGGGAGCTTCTCTAGGCGGATTCTCTCGTACATGGTGCCGGCATCCGAAGGACCGCAAACCTCCACGCTCATCTCTGAGGAACCAGAAACTAGGTTACAAATAAAAGTCTTTGACTGACATTCTCAAAGGATACCTTCACTCATTTATGCCACTTCTCTTAACTCTAAATATTGAGTCTGTTCTTATTGACACCAGTTTTATATATTTTCAGAGGATCTTTGAAGGAAAAGAAAAGGAGGATTTAAATTAAGATAAAGTAAAGTCCTACATTTTAAGGCTGGAAAGGAAAAAAAATGTAACTCTTTTGGTTATGCTTTATCTGTGTGGATCATTCTGCTTATATCATGTTAAATTCTGTAGATTTTCAAGTAATGCAGAAAAAGGCAGATTTAAGTTTAAACTGAGTAAACTGCTTTACTTCCACTATCATGGCTTCTTTATTCATTTTTTTTTTCTATCCCCAGAAAGTTTTTGTTGATGCTTAATGAAAACAAAATAATAAAAAAAAACATCAGCAGGTTAGAAACATGAACTCTCCAACAGGTGCATCTTTACCCCAACAGCAATCAAAAGAACAAATAACTTAAATGCAACGATAAAACCTCTTCAGTGGATTTTAAATTTAATGGGAAGGAACAGGCGGGTTATTCCTCACCTTTTTTCTCTCCGTACTTCTTATACTCCCCGGCCCAAACACCGCTGAAGCCTTCCCCATCAGGAGTCACAAACATCAAGCCGTTTTTGCTGAGAGCGATGTCTGACATAAAAACCTGACGCGGATACGCCCACCTGCACTGCCTCACCGAGCTGCCAGAGGAACGCCAGCAGAACACCTGATGGAGACATGAACGCCGTACGGAGAGTTACACAACTCTTAGTCATCTAGAAAACACTATAGGGAATGACCTCTTCCTGTTAGCTGTATACACAGGGTTGGATAACAGTAAAAGTGAGGCAGGGATGAAAATATAACTTGGATCCATTTTGTTTGCAGCTTCGGGTTTTTCTGGGTTTATGCATCATAAGGATTAAATGTTTAACTTACCCTTCCTGCTTCATCCAGCGCTAAGATGGCTATCTTTTCCCCACCGCAGTCATTCAGGATCTGGGGAAGCACCCGATGATCCAAACTGCCACCACTGACCAGGACCTTTTTGATGTTCAACTGTCTGAAAAGAGAAAAAAAGAAGATAATTTAGAGTTTTTTTAAGATTTATTTATTTTTTTTCTATCGAAGGCTGGGTGACAAATGAACTTTATTGAATTATTCCAATCCAACTAGGAAGGGCTTCACTAACGCTTCGTGCTCATGCAGACAGGTCCCTCTATCGGACCAAAGATTCTGTTGGATACTTCCAGAACCCAGCTTCATGTGGACATGGTATCGTTACATTAACCCCTCCGAAGACAGATGATTAACCGGAATATTCTCACTGGTAATTTCTGTCATTTGTTCTTATAAAATAATCAGGAAACAAATAATAAATGTAATAATATCTTGTCTAAACAACAAAAATCCACCATTATGAAGCCATATCCTGCAGCTCCATGTCTAGGATGTTAACGTTAAACTGCTCCCTATCAAAACGTTGCTTCCAACCCCTTTTAATCACCTTGAAGCCATTTTCTTGCACTGGTAATCAGTCAGCAGATAAACATCCCCTTTTTCAGTCACAACCACTGTGGCTCCATCACTAGCTGCTGCCATGGCGATGCCAACATCCTTGTGGTGCAGAGCCGACACCTGGCGAGGCGTTGTCACACATTTCTCCCCATTTGGGTCGAGCAGATAACCTGAAGATAAAACACAGAGGAGTGAAGCATTCCACCTATCCTTATAGTTAACATGTCATGTTCTTCTCCAGGGCTGAAATAAATACACTGAACAAAAGCTCAAAAAGCTAAAAAAAAAAAAAAAAAGATCAGCTGAAGATTATTTGCATAACATTATAGGCTCTGTTCGAAAACCTAGGAAGGGTCCTCCAAGGACGCAGTCTACCTAGACTGGATCCTTCGAAGTCCTTGAAAATAAGGAGACCGGAAGAGTTTTGGCTATGAATTTCGACCAGGTCTACCCTTCGGCGGGTTTTACCGCTGTAAGCTCTGTTGCTTAGCAACCGTGAAAGTTGACACACAAAGCAGGAAAGGAATGAATACCGAAGTTTTCAAAACTGTTTGTTTATTAATTTCTTTTTTTATTGTAAAGTGAACAAAGACTACATTAACAAGAATCCAGAGTGGAATAAAGGTTCCAAATTTATATTTCAACTCTTCCCTATTATGTTATTCTTATACATTTTTCTAAGGTCCACTTTTGTGTGACCATTTTCAATAATCTTTCTGCTGCAGTAAATTTGCATTGTGGGACAATAAAGGGATTTTCTATTCTATTCTATAAAAGGGATAGAAATATATAGGTAAATCTAAACAATGTATGTATAAAAAATATATCTGAAAAATCTCTAATATTCAACAACAAAAAATACTTAGTTAAGCATATTGTGCAAAACAGCAATAAAAACATAAAAATCCTATCAGATTTATAGTTCCCACTCTGCAGATATATTAGAATCTGTCCTTAAATTACAGCCAAACCCATTTACACAGTAACAGATAAAAACCTTTAGATAAACCAAACATTACCGCCACATATCTGACTCAATAACCATTAAAACAACTATTTTCATTAATCTCAGAAGGAACATGTATCATATTAAACTGAACTTCCAATTTTCACCACTGTTCGGCGCCAAGTAATCTTTGCTCTGATCACGGATTCCATGGTCTCGCAATGAATCCTGGGTAAACCAAGGATACCGAGGATACATCGGACCCGTCCTTCAAATCAGGGAAAAAGACGGACGCATTTTAAGGCCGCATAACAAGAAGTCTTGGAATCCGAACCAGACTTCGGCGCCGCGCTATGACGTAATCGCCTTTCGAATTCGGCCTTCTAAGGACGCGTCCTAGGTTTTTGAACAGAGCAATAGTCCGTAGGAATTTTGATGCTTTAACAAGCTAAAACTCTCATCTTCCTCCAGCTGAACCAGGCGGTTCAGTAACATTGTGCATCTGAAACTCGAGGCGGTTGTTCTCCTCCCTTGTTTCAGTGGTTTTACGGAGCCTTACCCAGCTGCCCTCCATTCAGTCCCACTGTATACACCGCCTCTCTGGTCCACAGCACTGTGTGGAACCTCCCTGCAGCTACTCCAATCACTGCTCTACCTTTCAGCATTTTGGAGAACACCTGATTCAAAACAGGAGACGTATGATGATGTGATTCATTAAAAAAAAATAAAATAACTGATCCCATTTTTTTTATTTTTTTTTTTATATATATTCTAATGGAAGCCCAGGAACCTCCCCACCTGTTTGGGAGCATTTGCTGAGGCAGGAGGAGGAGTCAGGCCCAGCTGGTGGAAGGTGTTGAGACCAAACGTATAAACGTAGCCTTCCTCGGTCAGCACCACTGTGTGGTCTTTAGCTGCTGCCACCTGGGAGCAGTGGTGGGACATCAGACCCTCCACCATCCGAGGAACCTAGCACAGGAAGATGAAAAAAAATTTTTTTAATTGTTTTTCTTCCAAACTTGGCATAAGTTCACATACAGAATCCCTTCACAAATATTCAAACCCATTAAAATGTTAACTATTTTATAGGGATTTGAACCGACACATAGTAAAGTGTAAAATTAAGGGAAAAAGCGTAAATTGGAACAGTACTAGGGCTGAGGGTGATGACGTTTCACGAGCAGATGAGAACGCACAAGTGCACTTATATGGGAACGGTCTGATTCTTTTTGGGAAACCTCCATCCTCTGCATATCTAGAGATCAAGGTTTCATCCAATTCACTGCAAAACAGCTAGAACGCAGCCAGACCGGATGGAAAGCATTCATCACATCTTTCCACAGATTTTAAGCTGGGCTTCAGTCTTTGAATAGACCAGTCCAACACAAATACACCTTATAAATCCCCTAACCCAGGGATGCTCAAGTCCAATCCTCAGGAGCTCCAATCCTGTAACTTTTAGACGCATCTCTTCTCTAACACACCTGTATTGAAAGATTCAATCCCATCATTTAGCCCAGAAGAGGCGTGGTAACGATGTAATTTCCTTACTTAAAAATAAGTGTTTCCACAGCATGATGCTGCCGCCGCCTCATCAGACCAGAGCACCTTCTTCTTATCTGTGTTTCTCTAAGGCCTTATTGGCAACTAAAAATAACTGGCTTCTAACTGCTTTCATTATCAACCTTCCTCATGCCATCCTTTAGTAAAAGAATAATCTCTGCAGGCCGAATATTCAAAATTTGGAAATTTGAAAGTATAACTCTTGTTTTAAACCTCTACACATCTTTATCCCTGAACTGACTGTAGAGTTGCTTAAGCTTGATGATCATGCTCTTTTTTTAGCTTCACCACAGAGAGACAAATAAAATGGATTCTTTTATTCTAACAAACATCTGAGGCCTTCCCAGAACAGCTGCAATTATACATGGGTTAAATTACACTTGGCTGGAATCCATTCACTTTTAAGAGGACGATTAAAGGTAAATGACTGCAATGGACTTTATTTAAGATGGTCAGATTGGTGAGGAGGGGACAGAAATGCACAAAAATGTCTCCTTTCCTTCCAGCTGAAGAATCAGCCCCAGTTCCTTATGTTTAAAACATACTATCCCGTAAAAACTGCAGCTTCACATCAGTTCTTCATTCCTAACTTGTTTAGTCTTTTGCTTCAGGTCCTTTGATACTTGATATTAAAGGGTGTAAATGAGAGGCAATACTTTATCTACAGTCTGCCTTTAAGGAATCTTAAATTTCATAAAAATCTATATCTTCACCCTCCTTATGTGCCTAGAAGTCAGGCAGGGGACGAGTGTCGGCCTCTTTGGTTGCTGCTGACGCTTTTATGTGACTCACTGCTGAGTCATTGAGAGTTAAGCAGTGGAAGGGAAAATATGACACAGCAAAATAAGGCAAAGAAAAGAAAGAACCTCACCAGATAGGTCTGTTCATCTCCGTGACCAAGTCTTCCTCCTTGTCCATGTCCACAGGTAAACACCTGACCTTTCTGGGACAGGAACACGGAGTGGAACTTACACAGCACCACCTACAGGGAAAAAGGGCCAGATGGAAAATCCTAATTCAATGTGAGTTTTAACAACAAGTATAGAACTTTGACCTCAGAGCTGAGGCTGTGATGAATCTCCTGCCAAGCTCTCTTGTAGCGACATTAAAACACTGCGCCAATAAAAGGCCAGGGCACAAGTGGAAAAGCAAACATCATTATTAATACATTGCGCCCTCAAGCCTTCAACAGAGCGCAGACATGTTTCCTGAAGAATCTCATTGATGTGGAAATTCACACACATGCACCCACAACAGTGGAGCTCATTTAATTAAAAGCATGTCATTGTGGAATTAATATTTAACCTCTAGCACCTGCTGGATTAGGATGGGGAGACAAAGCCTACACTCAGTGTCGCCAGGTCATTGTGTGGTCATGATACCGGATCTACCCGACCAACAGCGATATTATGAAATGAACTTTGCAGGTTGGAAAAAAAAAAAAAAAACTGAGAAAAACAACTTGCACAAAAAACTTTCTACTGAAAGAATATGAGAAAAGATTATTTATCAGGTGCAGAAAGAACAATTCATGACATAATAGAACCTAGTTAATGGCTTCTAAAGAAGCAAGCTACTGAAGAAAAATAAAGGTTATATCTATTCTAAATGGTAATCTGCAATGGCTAAAAGAATAGAAAATCTGAAAAGTTGTTTTTTGTTTATTTTTAGTTTCACATCTTTTTTTTCGTGAAAATAAGAAAAAAGAAAAAAAAAACAATTGCATCGTCTTATTTCAAGTGCATATTATACTAATTATCTTATTTTAAGGGTAAAAATACTCATTCCAATGGCTAATCGTCTTATTTACCTACTTAAACTAAGGGTAAATACAGTTTATCTAAGAAATCTTGACTTATTTTTAGATCGTTTTTGCAGTAAAAAGCAATTTCCCTGTTTTAATTTATTTTAAAATTTTGCCTCCTGCAGCGGTGCCAATGAAGCGTAGGGATATTCGTGAATCGCGAATGAACTTTGCAGGTTGGAAAAAAAAAACAGAAAAACAACTTGCACAAAAAAGTTTCTACTGAAAGAATATGAGAAAAGGTTATTTATCAGGTACAGAAAGAACAATTCATGACATAATAGAACCTAGTTAATGGCTTCTAAAGAAGCAAGCTACTGAAAAAAAATACAGGTTGTATCTATTCTAAATGGTAATCTGCAATGGCTAAAAGAATAGAAAATCTGTGACGTTTTTTGGGTGTTTTCTTTTTAGTTTCACATCTTTTTTTTTATGTGTACTGAAAAAAAAAAATCGAAATAAGTCATGTTTTTCTTAAAATAAGTGCATTTGTTGTTGAACTGAGAAGATAAGTGAGAAGCTTTGCCAATAGAACAATTTACATTAAAAAAAAATTGCATTGCCTTATTTCAAGTGCATATTATACTAATTATCTTATTTTAAGGTTAAAAATACTCATTCCATTGGCAAATCGTCTTATTTACCTACTTAAACTAAGGGTAAATACAGCTAATCTAAGAAATCTTGACTTATTTTTAGATCGTTTTTGCATTAAAAAACAATTTCCCTGTTTCAATTTATTTTAAAAATTTTGCCTCCTGCGGCGGTGCCAATGAAGCGTAGGGATATTCGCATTTCTAGTGCTGGCCATAATTTACTCTCTCCACAGTAATTGACATAAAATAAGCGGGAAATAAACCTTCTCTTTACTCGGTGTACTAAACACAATGAAGAATGAAAGTTCTGAAAATATTTGGATGCAAAAACAAATAAAGCGAGGCAGTTTCAGCCACTCTTTCATGTTTCTTTCCCTATTCCAATTGTTTTGATTCGGCATCGGTCACTGGCTTTCGCTACATTTTCTGCACACGCTTGAGCAGCTTAGAGGCTTCAAAGCAGAATAGAGAATTCAGTGACTGAAACTAACGGCAGCAAGAAGAGTCATGAGGCTGAGCTAGAAGCGGTAGAAATCCAAGGTTTAGTGACCACCCTCAGGAATTTTAGCCTCTCACTTGGTCTGGGATACACTGTTCTTTTGTTATTAAGAGAAATATCTGCTGAAATAAATCGAAGGATTTCTTTAGGCTGAATATATTCAACTCAAAATCTGCTATTTTGTCATTTAGAGAAAAAAAGGGAATAGATTCTTCAAACTCAACTTTTTCTAAACCTCAAATTTATTTTTCCAAACGTTTCAAGTTCTGAGCACAGACAAATGCAGGCTCAGCACCTTTTAGCCATTTAAAGTGTCATTTAAACTGCAGCCTGGACAGCAGAGGTGCTGATTACAATGCGAGCCAAACCTAACATTTCATAAAATAAGATCAGGCTAGAGGAGACCACAACAACACATTGAAACATTTTTATCTAGATAGAACCAATTCATCAGGTTTACTACGAGTCTAAACAAACAGAAAAAATTAAAACCTTGAAAAACTGAATCCTTTATCCTACATTGGTTGTAAATTCAAAAGAAAATGCCAGAATGAGTCAATCCTGAGGGAGAAAACACACGGATGAGCCCTGAGGAGAAGGTTGTGTAATGCAGGGCTCACGAGACGGGAGTGGCTGCTTTGCCTCAATTAACTTATCTCTTTGGCACAAGTGCACTTTTTTTCTAACACTGATGTAACATATGTTGGCAATGTGTTGATAAATGAGGTGCAATAGAAGGCACTTCCAGTGCATTCTGGAGGAAATGATTAGTCCATCTCCCCTCAAGGATGACACAACCAGATCGAGTGCTTCTTACCTGCTTGATGTAAACTCCAGTCCTGGCGAATACATCCACAAGTTCAGGGTGCTGCCTGCTCTCCTGGTTGCCATGGCCCAGACTAAAATTAGTATTGCTTCCCCACATGTAAACTTCTGTTGGGTCTGCGTTAAAAGGAAATCTTGTCACACGAACAGTTTCAATGCTGCCTCAAAAGGTGGGTTTTACTCATTATTATTATTAGTATATTATTATAAAGTCTAATGTGTGTATTAGATGTACACATACGCTTCATTTTTAAATGTTATTTATAAATAAAGCAGATTTTCATGCCCGAAAAAGGAAACTGGGTGAGGCAAAAGTGATGAACATTTTCAGATCTTACCAGTGTTTTTGAAGACAACATGTGCCGGTCTGTCTTTCATGGTCAGGTCCAGGACAGACAGTCCTTCCTTGTCCTGGGTGGACAAAAGCCCACCATGCTGCACAATAACAACAAAAAAACATTAACTAATGACTCTGTTCGCTTTTGGAGAAATCAGTCCACAAAAACATTTTTTTTGCATTAAAATTATTTTCTGGATTTTGCAGTGGTTCATGTTCTCATTTAACAACATAATGCTTCACATATTTATTTACCACCAATTAACCAAAGTATTTCATTGGGATCTGATGTGTTAAATCAGTAAAAAGCAGCATAGAAATAAGAAAAAGGGAAAAATCATACATGCTTTTTATTTCTTTCTTCACAAACAATGTTTGGAAGAGTGAGACTGGCACCAAATGTGAGCTATAGATATGTTTGTACGGTATTCATCAGAGGTGGGGGATCTGGAGTCAACAAGTCATCTCTATGTCACGTAGTTGTTCTGCCCAGCCACTGAACCAGGTAAGTCCAATCTGCACAGGTTAAACCAGATTTGACTCAACTGGTTCAGTGGCTAGGAAGAACAAATACATTAAATAGAGATGATTGTTTGACTCCAGATCCCCTATCTTTGGTATCCATTCCTCAATTTGGGTGTATACATCCCTGCTAACATTATTAAAGTTAAACAGGCAGAAAATAAAAAAAGGATCCATGAACACATACCTTAACTAATGATATGAGACAGTGGATCTGTCCATAGAAGGCACTGCGGTGCAGGGCATTCCAGCCAGATTCTTTATCCTTCAACATCAGATCAGCCCCTTTACTTTCCAGCAGCCACTCCAGCAGAGCCTTCTTTCCCAGCGAAGCCGCCAGGTGAAGGGCTGTGCGACCATGGGCATCACGCAAACTGGTTGCATTGTGGCAGTGAGAAGTCAGGAAAGCACGGAGCTTCCCTTCAGATCCACTAGTTAGCGCCGCAACCACCTGGTCTGCGTGCTGCTGGGACCGGCATTTTGGGGTGCAGTCTGGAGATGCCAGGCTCATCCTGACCGCTTCACAATCTTCACTGGAGTTTCCTGTACTTCCGTCACAGAGTCTCTCTGACACCCACAATTGTAAACAATCTCAAAAACGTGTGGATGTGTTGTAACAAAATAATAACACTGCAATTTCAATTTTGCAGGACAAAAAAAAAAAAACAAAAAAACTCTCCAAAGAAAGTACCAAGAAAAAAAGGTAGAGGTGGGATGGAGTGCTAGAATTGTGCTTGTGTTGAGGTTCCACTGCACCCTAGCGACCCCAGAGCCTTTTCGTGACTCGCTTCAATCCACCATTTCGACCAAGCTCTGAACACAGACTAAGCTGCTCGCAGCATATAATGGCATCATGAATTCAAACAATACAAAAACTTAACAGGCTTGTCATACAAAATAGTGCATCTCAAGGTTTGCAAAAATATCTTTCTATTCAATCATTTACAAAAGGCAACAATTTTAAAAACCCTGACCTTCTCTTCCAGCAGCCCAACCATCCAACTTGAGGGGAAAGGCCACCTTTCCCCCCAAAACTCACGATTTCGTTTTTAAATCTCCATAATTGTAGGGTGAACCTAAGTAGAACAACAACAACATTAGAAATAAAATGCAACAAACACTGAGAACTTGTGTGAATGGAAACAATTTCTGCAGCAATGCTGCTTTAACACCCTCCTATACACAAGTAAGTATTCCCAGGGTGCATTTAGAGTAATAACACAGGAGGAATGAGGTGCCAGGACGTTATGGTAGCAAAGATGTCAAAATGACTCAGGTAATCACAACTTGGACTTTAAAAGCTCACATCTACTGAGTGTACACGTATGATGGGCACCAATGCTAGCAGAACTCCAGCATTATGTAACAGGCTAAATTAGCCGGCTAACATTAACTTCAAGATTTTCAGTATCCTCCAAACTTTTAATTGCGTCAATACTTTATTCCGCGTTAAGGAAATTAATATTTAAAGACATTTATTGAAAAAAAATATGAAAATTATATGAAAAACTCAAAATAGCTGTCCACTCATAGCGCAAGCTAATAGCTTCTAGCATATGTTGCTCAGATAGCTCAGAATGTTGTCCAATTTAACATGCAGAAGCAAATTAGACAATCGTTTAAGAAAAAGCAGGACTCCCATCTAAGTGTCGGAACTGCTGTTTTTGTAATACCTCCATTTAGTAACATCGCTGTGTTAGGTTGACTTAACAGAATATTGCTAGCTAGCCTGATGCTATTGCGCTAAAATACATTTATTAAAATCATCGTATTATCTTACCTTCCGCTAGATGAAGAAAAAGGAAGAGACTAAGAAAGTAGCTCTAGCGACGTACATTCTGTGTGCCATAACTAATAAATAGGGAACTTTAACGGCTCTTCATCTGTGGCAGATTTTGACAGGGCTAAATCCTGCAGGTTAGGTAACAACACCCACTTAACATCGAGACTTCTGATTGGTTAAAGCGGCTACACGCTAATATCTGATTGGTCTATTTTTGGGGCACGTCAGTGAAGTCAGTGGCACTGTTGCTAGATGACATCACATACATTTTTTTTTTCTTAATCTTGAGCAACCCTTTGGAGTTGAAGAAGAAGAGGAATCGGGTTTAAATTCTAAAAAGAAGAAGAAGAGAAATGATTACAGTAAATGTGGACTTCATGTTTTAGGATTAACTAAAATTAAATACACTTTTAAAACCGGATATTTCTTTTTCCCCTTACATCTGGTATTTGACATTACCTTTCTCTAGAGGTTAAATATTGTAAAAGAAAATATCTTTAAAATTTACTTTCATTAATGACAAATTCTTAACATTAAGGTTCTTGGATTTATTAAACAAAACAGATTTGCATTATATATGAAATAGCATATACTGATGAATCTTGGTAAAACAGAAGGTCGCCAAAAAAATTAAACAACAAAAAACATAATTCAGCTTCTCATAAAACAAATATTTTCCATAAAATAGATGGAACAAAACTGATATTCCACGATATATATGTCAACGTCATGTGCTAGCTTTCTGGTTTATGCATAAAACTGTTATTAACAGTTGTCCAGTGCTCAAAAAAGGTAACTGATTAAGAGGCTTATTGTCTACCTTTAATTCTGCGTAATTTATTTATTTTAGACGCTCCCCGCCAGAAAAATGTTACTTGTATGTTAACATATTTGGGGAAAGTTAATGTTAAAGGAAAAATTGTGATAGACAAAGGTGCGCAAAGCTCAAAAAAATAACTTCAACCTAATGAGGTTTTGATTTCAGGAAGATTCATGAGGCCTGAAATGTGGCTGGAGGAGTCAGCGCTTTAAGATCCACCATTCACCAATCTGTCCATTATGTTTACTGCATTCCTATATTAAGTTATTTATGAACCAGAAACCATTCAATCGTCCCTTTATGGTGTGTTTTTTGTGCTCTGAAGATAATTACACAGCGCCTTGAAAGATTACTCGCACACCTCAACCTTTTTTGTCATTATACAACCAAACATCCATGTAGTCTATTCCTTTTGTAGTTTGTGTGCAAGACCAACACAAATAATTAAGTATTGATAATGATCTCCAAAAATCCAGAAATATTAAGTCAGATAAAAGAGGTCCAGTTTCAAATTTTCCTCACAGGCATTGTGGTGTACAGCTGTACTATGTGACCTTTTTAGTCTAGATAAGAAACTCAAGTTGTGAATGCAGCCTTTCTACTGTGAACCAGTTGGTTAATAGCGTGGGAGGCTGATGTTGATCCTGTTTGGCGTCTATGGCAGCTTCTTCTTAGTGAAGTTGATGACCTGATTTATGTGTGTATGTTTAAAAGAGGGGGAAAAAAATAAACAGACATGCACTCTATTCTCTAGTCTGTTAGTGGAGGTGTGTGAAACAGCCAATCAGAAGTCAGGGTCTCTACGAGCCACCCTAATCCCTCCCACTGAAGTTCTGCATGGATGTCATGGAATTAATAAACACAAATTATGCAATAAACAAAGATAACAAGCACATTTTTTTTATTATTATTTGTCAAAAAATAAAGCAGAAAATAATACAAACATATCCTTATGCTTCCATTTTGGCATAAAGGTTGCAAAATACTGTAGGAAAAGTCAAGAAACTTCAGATTCTATTGTTAAACTTCTTTGAATATAGGTCTTACCTCCATTTTTTCATTTACTTGCTTCTTCAGAAAGTTTTAATATAATTATTATTAATATAATCATATCTCTTTCTATTTAATCTATGCTATCACATAAAAAAACATTATTGAATTCAAGATACAGCTGATAAATCCTACTTTATTTAGTGTTTGTAGAAAAATGCATTACCGTGTTTAAATTTGAATCATTTTTTTATATTGACCATAAAACATTACCTTAAGAGTGTACTTTTAAACTTCGGGATTAAATTGGTTTATTTCCTAAAAATGAAACTCTGGAGCACATCAACCTTAGTGTGAACAAGAGAAGTGAGTGTCAAAAGTTTATACATCCACTTGGAAAACATCTTGTCAGCTATGAAGGCTGACAGACTCTGACCAGGGTATCAGTTTCAACCTCAATCCAGGTGTGATGGAATTACTCTGATGGTTGTCCCATTGACCCAGGGCTAAGAATATGAGAGGGGCCAGACAGAGGTAAAAAGGTAGAGTTACACTACATAAGGTACTCCTAAATTTGACATATTAAGGAGCGAGCCCTCCTTTGATATTCCAACCCCAATCCATCCACAGCTGTTTTCTTCACAGAGGTATAATCCTGCATAATCCAGGAGAGCATTGTTACAAAAATCAATGGTTTTGTCCAGAAGTTGATGAAAAAACAAAATACTGCAGTTGAGTTTTTTTCTGATTTGTTGCTTTATGTCAAAATGTTAAAATTCTCGACATTAATACTACCATTAAAATCTAACAGCAGTCTTCATCATGGTGTTGCAGCTCTAACCACATTTATGCCAACTAGTAAGACAATGAAGTCTTATTTTTATAATATTTTACACCAGTACTTCCTTGTTTTACTGAAGGTGTTCTTTATTGTTATTTAATGGAGGCTTGTTTGAGTAAATAACTAAATAGTAATAAAAAATAAATAAATAAAAACAAGACTGGGGTAAACTACAGTAACTCGACACGTTTAAGTTGGCAGGAACTGTACTCAGTCTAGTTAATAACTTTAAACTTTTTGGTTTGCAGAATTTATGTGTTAAGTAATCAGGCTACTGTTTGGAAAACAAGCCAACAAAAAAGTATTTCTTTGCCACTTTCAACATGGTAATGTTGGCCTAATCCATCCCTGGCTGCCAATTCAAACCAGTCAGTCCTTGTGAAATAATTCAAATTCAAGTGTTACCCAGGAGTGGAGCTAGATGGGGGGACAGCTAATCATTGGCCACCCCTACTATTTCCCCCCCCTAATACAGACGGTGGCAGCAGTAATACTCTCAAGTGGAATATTCAAAACATTTAATTTTTTCAGATATTAACAATTACTTGACAACAAAAAAAATGTGGTTAATTATGCACATCAATATACTAACATTAAAGATGATAATTCATGCTCTATTCAGAACTAGATTTTGTGTTATATGGGGTAAAGATACAGTTTGAAAGCCATCTAGGAGTCATCAGTGAAATCATAAATAAATAACTATTTTAATAAAAACTTAAATAATCAATTTATGTATATATTAGAACTTGTAAATATCACTTTTATGTAGAATAATTTTTTATAAAAGTAGGCAAATAATGACAAAGGAAGAGATGTTTGCACCAGAACTCAAACCTGAAATAATTGTATCCACTATACCTTTTATCTAGAAAGCACAGATGTTTAAATATATGCGTCTATTTGGTACCGAAGGCTGTAGGAAAGTATAGTTAGTCTTTATTTAGAAAATATGGATGTTGTCCTTGTTAATTTTCCTCTTGCAATAGTTTAGATTGAGGTTCTGGCGCCTATCCACTTTCGGCCACCCCTCAGTGTACATTGGTTATTGCCTGGCCCCCCTTATAAAAATGTTCTAGCTACGCCTCTGGTGTTACAACCCTGCAGTTTTTTCAGTGTATTAAGTTCATTTAATTTATATATAAAAAAGTTTATATGAATAGCAATACTCAAAAGTCTCAATGGTTGTGAATCAGATTATTTTATTTTTTGATGGCTCTTATTGTTTTTCCTGTTAACCTAAATGGCTTTATACAAAGGATAGAAGTAAAAACTTGTACGTTTTATGAGGAAAACTTGTTCAAATGACTAATTCTGGGTTGAATTAAAGTCCCTTTGCTCCCCTCCTGTTGTTCTGTAATGGTACGCTCCCTCCCTGTGATGTAGTGCTCTGAATGCTGCTGCTGGGCGGTCAGAAGGCTGGAGGAGCGCCTCAGAGAGAAGGAGGATCTTTGTCTGGGAGGAGGGTGGCTTTGTCTGGAAACCTGCTGCCACAGTGAGTTTGTAGGACCGTTTTTTCATTCTGCGTTTGATTCAGTTTTTCCCCAAAACTGAGCGTGGATGATCCCCTCACAGCTTTAAAAAGAGAAAAGCAGATGTTTCAGAAAAGAGGAGATCGGAGCTTTTTGCGCGTTTCGTGAAAATGTAGAGTATTTAATCCCATTTTGTTTTTTTTTTGTTTTTTACCTGCTATCAGTTATATGGAGGTGTTCCTGGGAGCTGATTTAAATCGGATTAAGGAGGAAACTTTGCTGAAAAACTTTGAGAGACGGGGCGGTGACTTGTTGAGAGGCAGCTTTTCCTCCTGCGCACACTGATTTGTGCGCCTCCCCAACATGCGCCCGCGCCAGGAGCCGGGGACACCTCACCGGTGCGTTATGACGCGGCTGCTTCTCCTCTTCGCGCTCGCGCTGTCCTGCCGCTGCTGTCCGGACAATTGCCTGTGCTCCCTAGAAACTGTGAAATGCCAAAACCTGGACTTGAACGCCATTCCACATTCCCTACCGGCCAATATTAAATCCCTGTTCATCACGGGAAACACCATCTCCCAAATTAACCAGACGTCTTTCCCTATGCGTCTGGAAAACTTGACAGATCTTTATTTGAGTGACAATGAGATGGAGCTTGTGGAGGCAGGTGCGTTTCAGAACTTGCCAAACCTTGAGCGGCTTGATCTGAGTAATAACCGAATCCTGACCTTTGACGAACATGCTTTACCTGATGACAATAAACTGAAGCTCCTAAACCTCAGCAGGTCTTTTCACAATGGTTCCCTGCTCGACTTCTTCCCCCGGGCAAACCTTCTCCAGCTCGCCACCCTGGATCTATCCAACAACAACCTGGAACATCACCGGCTGGACGGCACCTTCACAGCCATGTCCAGCCTGGTCACCCTCAGCCTCCGTAACACCCTCCTCTACACCATCGAGAACTGGAGCCTGCCTGCGCTGCGTGACCTCGACCTGAGGGACAACAACCTGAAGTTTCTGCCCTCCGCCACATTAGCGGAGT